TTCTTCACTTCGCCGTTCTGCACTGATTCTGAGAGTTAACTGTGGAATTTTGTTTTTGGTTTTGTTGAACGTGAAGATTGAAGCTAACTGATAAATAAGTAGATGTTATTGTATTTGGATCGATGGAACGTAAAGAAGATGAGAAGTGGGGAAGAAGCTAGGGTTTTTTAATGAAATTTTGAGGACTATTAACTTGAGAAAGAGGAACACAAAAGTCTTCTACTCCCCGAATTCTTCTGCCTCCTTTTCTTCGTTTATCTTTTTTCCCGTTTACTTTTTAAAATATTTATTCCTTTCCTGTTTATATATATATATATATATATATATATATATATATATATATATATATATATGTGTGTGTGTGTGTGTGTTATATTTCTTCTTTGATTCAGTATATGTTTGGTGGATTAGTGATAAATATTTAAAGGAATATTTTTATTACACCGAATAAATTTTTTCACACAAGATATATATAAAATAATGATAAATATGAATGGATGTAAAAGTTATATGAACGAGTGTCAAATAGAAAATACCTTTTTTATGAGATAAATAGAATATTTATTGTGGATCTATATATAAGTACATATATTATAAAATTATTTTTTATATATATTACATTTATTTATTATTAGACACAATCATGTGAAGTTAGTCAATATTTTAGGCAGAGCTCTCTCTACAAATATGTATTTGAATACTAATAACTTAAATTGAAGATAATAATTTTGTATTAGTTGTATGTATAATCAATTTCACATGCTAATTTTTTTTATGAATTTATAATATAACTATCAACTATAAAAACTTAAAAATAAACCCTATTAATTGTATTCTATATATGCGTTGAATCACGTTATTCTCTATATTCTATAGTACAAAACCAGCAAGAATTAAAAAAAATGTTTTGTTTTCCCAATTTTTATGTAGTGATATGAGTCATCCACTTCAAGTTAGAATCACATTGGAGACTCAGACAAAGAGAACAAAGGTATTAAATATCAATCTCTAAAAGGTATTAAGCTTATCCCATTAACAAATGTTAATAGCAAATAATTTAAAATAATCAAATGAATGATAATATATAGAACATTATAAAAATGATATAACATATATATATATATATATATATATATATATATATATATATACACACACAATAATAATTATAATATTAATCCATTGCCAAGGAAAAAAATATTACAAAGAAAAAATTATTAATAATTAAATATTTCATCTAAAAAATTAATTGTCTTTACAATTATTTTAAAAGGGAAAATAATATATTCATCTAAAAAGATAAACAAGTATTATCATGCTCACAATAAATAATATAAAAATAAGGTATTTTATTTAAATTAAAAAATAACACTTAATTTTTTCATGTTTCTACCAACATATTATTAATTCGTGTGAAATTGAGTTCAATTTAAAATATCATAGGATAGATACTTATAAAAATGGAAAAAATGCGATTAAAAGAAAAATATTTAAAAGGTAGTCAACAAAATTTTCTTAGAGAAACATTGACTATGGGAAAAATGTGTAAGAATGAGATATAGATTAAAAAAAAATACATTACTAGATTTTTTTTCATATTTTATACGAACTTTCTATAAAAATTCACATGAATGAGGACCTTCTTGCAAATTTTCCTGTAGTTTTATAAAATTACACACAAAATCGAAAAAAAAAACAATAGAAAAATGAATAACTCTAATAAAATGAAGTTGCTATTATATATTTCAATAATCAAACTTCTAGATACAAATAAACAACCTAGCATTAAAATATTGTATAATTAAAAAAAAATGTCCTTTAAATATCAAAGTTTTTTTCTTGATTTATGGGACATCAATCCCTTTGTGCATTTTTTTTCCTACATGCCATAAATACATATAAGTATAATTAATAGACAAAAATACCTCTCTAAAATTAACAATATATTCTAAAAATTTTCTCCCTACACGTAATTATAATTAATAGTTAAAAATACCTTTATGACATTATACTTCAAAAAAAAATTTATTCAAAATGTATTTAAAAACTTATAGATTACACAATTTGAATTACAAATAAAGGGTTGGTCAAAGTTTAGGAATGTATAAATATGAAATAATATTATACATTTTTTTTTGGAATTTACATTCGAATTATGTAAAATAAGTATCATTATATAATTTAAGATAAAATATTATAAATATTATGAAATATATAGAATGATATTTTCTCATATAATAAAAAAATAATAGTCACATTAGGATTTGAATATATGATAATTCCATGCAAAGCTAAGAATCTTGCCTCAACTTGACATGTCATGAATAAGTCAGAGGAAGATGAGGATGTAACAACCTTTCAAAATAATAATAACATAATAAATTACACTAATAATTGTCATCCATATATAAAACTTTAATTAATTTATAGTAAACTTTAAAACATAAAACTTTATTCTAGGAAACAGATTTTACATAGGTATAATCTAAATCTTGTTAATAAATTTATAATCAACATTATTATGGATTAATGTTTATTCATTTTCAATTCCATCCACAATAGATGAAATTCGTGTTTAGCTTATCAATGAAAGTCGATGTTAATGGAACTGGGATGTATTTTAAATTACAAATATAGCATAAGAATTTATATTAGTATAGAAATATTATTAAAGATACGTATCAAAATCAATATAATACCAGTTTTGTTCATGTATAAAATTAAACTTTAGTATACATACATGGGTACGTACGGTTCATGTATTCTGGTGAAAAGTTTTCTAACAATAATTCTACTTATAATTAGTACAGAACCACTAACATGGCATAGAAATACAAAACTGAAAGCTTAGTGATATATTTAGCTAATTTGTATCAGTTAAACATTTCTTAATTTGTATGTTAGAACCATAGAAGAGTACTACTTGACTTAAATATAATCATAATATCATAACTTTGCACCGATTAAAATGGTGATTAAATTTATTTAATTTTTTTAATCATAGAATTAAAAAAAGTACATTTTCAAAATTATCTTTGTTCAAATTTAAAGGTATTTTAAGATAACAGGTCGAATTAAAGTTGATTTATATTAGATTATTAAAGTACGTCAGTTTTTTAGTTATATTTAAAAAGTGTTATTTTGGAATGGATGGAGTAACAGCCATAATTATGCTAATCAATTAACAGGTTGTGTTATTAATAGCTTTAATTTCTCATTTAATAACTTTCAATTGAACAATGCAATTATAATATCTAACACAGTAAAAAAATCCAAAAAATATCACTGTTTAGCCAATGTGAACTTCTCCTAGTAAACATACAGATTATTTACAAAATATTTATTATATTAAAATGTATAAAACACTTTATGTTAAATTTAAGTAAATTAAAATATTAAATTAGTCAAGTTATCTAATTAAATGTTATATTAAAATTTTATTTAATTCAATTGATAAATACCTCTAATATCCACTCGATTTTATTTTTCTAACCATGTTAAAGATTAATTTCAGTATAGTAATTATAAAAAAATAAAATAAAATGGAGTGTAACAAGTGAACATGACGCAGGAAATACGGTTGATGAGGAAGGACACGTGAAAGGTGATTCAGATAGCAAAGGTATGTGGAGAAGTAAGAGAATAGCAGAAAGAATGTGTTACTTCAAGAATTCGAAGGAATGTGTTACTTAAAGAATTCGTGACCTACTCTCTTCGTTATGATATTCTTTGTCTATTTTTTTTCTCTTACCTATTCGTCGTTATTTTTCATACGTGAATTTTAATTGTTAAAATGAAATCATGATCGCGTCTTGTTCCTACTATGATCTCCATTTAATTTCGTTTTTCATTCTCAATTCTAATATTCAGGCTGTAAAATAATTATGAGTTTTTCATCTATTGAAGTTCGTGAATTCACTCACTATTTATTAATTCCATTACTATTTCAGCGCAAGAGAGAGAAAATAATTGTGCAACAATTGATGATATAGAGATGTGAAACGAAGAGTTTGTAAAAATGATGAATGAAAATAAAACCATTTTAATCTAAAATATCATCCCAATATTAAATAAGGCCCCACATGTACCTGTCCAAATAAAGACAATAGGAAAAGAGTTCAATACAGTTGGATGAACACAAAGGACTTTGAAACATTTAACCTAGACGGCTCAATGATTAAAATAAAGTCACACTTTTTATTGATTAAAGAAATTGAATTAATTTTCCACCTTACTAAGTATTATTTCTAATAAAATTTACAAAGAAAGAAAATGTCTCTAGCTTATTTCTGAGAACAAGTTCAATAGAAACAATCTATGACTTGCTACTCATTATTCAAATATATAAAATGTGAATTTCATCGTCTCATAAATATTTTTATTCTAATAAAAAATTTAAAAATTTTCAAGCAATGTATTCTTTTTACTTTTTTTATTAATTTTTAAGTTGTTTAATAAGACATTTTTTGACAATTTTAAAAAACTGGGAGTCTTTCCATAAAAATTATTTCAAACTAATACTTTATACCAGCAATTCAATAAGTAATTTATATTAAAGATGTTCAGAAAATTGGAGGGAAGTCTCTATTTCTTACTACATGTAAGGAACATAGGATGGATTTACTAATAATCATGTATGGATGATGCGGATAGAACCTCCACATTTTATAACTCATTCATTAAAAAAAATATTTAATATGTTTAGAATATATAATGAGAAATTGAGTTACTCTTTGTATAAGAGTAGATTTTTTTGGGGTCCGAATCAACCATAAAACCTCCAAAAACATGAGAAGAGAAGGAAATTCTGACTATGTGGCTGGATGGGACACTGTCGAACTCATCTTGACACGTTAATTAACATAAACAATTAGAACAAAGCACGAGTTCTCAGCCCTAAGCCTTTTTTTTTTTCTATTGAGGATACCGAAAATGGAGAAGCGTGGAAATAACACAATATCAATGAATAGAAAATATTGAAATGTACAGTCTTTACATCACTAGACACTCGGTTGGATACTTCTGCTCCGCATGTAAGTTAAAAATTGAGTAGGTAATTCAGCCAGAAGTGCTTGAACTACTGAAATTTCTCCACCTGCAACAGGAAGAAGTTTGCAAGAGTTTGGTAAGTTAAAAGCCATTTGACAAAAGGTATTTGCAAACAAACTGACACCCACTTTGAACGTCACGAAATGGAACAAATTGGACTATATCACGGGAAGCAACGCGACCAGAAGAACTTTCAAGCTTCTCTCCTTTGTCGGCATCTAAAATCTGTGACATTGAACAAAACTACATAAAGCTCTGCAGTGGTATACCAGATAGCTCAATGCCTTAGATCCTAAGCAATTGTGATTTTGTGCGTAAAGTGCCACATGTTATAGACTATTTACCTCCATTTCTTTGAAATCAGCTCCTCCAACACCAACAATAAGGATTGATAACGGTAGATCCGATGCCTTAACGAGGGCATCTTTTGTTTCTTGGAGATCTGTCACTACTCCGTCCTGGAAGGATATCAAACAAGTTTCAGCACCGGCAATGGAAAAGGCAAGGTGATGCAAAAATCTTAAAATGTTCTCGTGAGGCAACTTTTTTCGTGTGTGGAACGCAAATATATTGGTATACCTCAGTCAATACTAGCTAAGCCATGCTAAAAACCATACAAGAGAAGCTACAGGTACATTTGTCATATGATATTTTGTAGTCAATGATTAACAAAATAGGATTACAATGGAATGGGTCACAGTGGAATAAACATTCCCAATCCAATTATTATGCTTTCAAAATATGATGAATTAGGAGAAAATGCACCCTTTCTCAGTATACACACTTTCTCACTCTAATGAATGGAATCACCATTCCACCGACCAAAATTATAACTAACATACTTTCACAGACAAGAAAGCAATAGTAACGAAAACGGCATACTCTAACTCTTACTGTGATTATTAACAAAACAAAGTACTTTCTGTCGCCATTTGCTGAAGATTGGCTTGCTATCAGTGCAGCATTGCTTATGACGGGTCCAAAAAGAGTTGGTCCTGCAAGAGAAACGTTAAGCAGGGCACTAGTGTATGCCTTCATGATTCCTTGGATGCCTTCCACCTGCAAAAAGACAGGACTATATTTATTATTGAACTATCTTATTAAGACAACAAAAGCAAGATCAGATTTAACATTTCTACCTCACAGTAATGGCTGCTTCCATTCAAGTTGAAACAGTGGGACACAGGGCCATCAATTGGTCGCGCTCCAAATCCCCATGTAGGAAATCGCTTGTCTGAATCATAATACTGTAAGACCTCCCCTACCTCTAAAATTGCCTGGAAAAAAATATTCATACAATTTGATCTGCAACATACGAAGTTGTAAAATTCAAACCAAGAATCATTTCTCACCCTCTGATATGCATTTGGCCGTCCTGAAGGATCATTATAATGCAAAGAATCTGGAAGGCGTGGATTTCCATTCGAAGCTGGTAAAGGAGAAGAGTTAAGTCCATGAAAACACAGCATCCATACTAACCAGAATGTTAGATGAAAGTTTAAAATGTATCTTATAGTTAGAATTTCTAATTCGAAGCGATCATTGAACTAAGTTAGTGGTTCAAAGTTCAATGATATAATGGTTGAACAAGTAATAATTAAATAATATGATTTTAATTTTAATAGTATAACATTCACAAATTCATAATATTAAAAATTAAACTTCACTTATAAATGTCATAACATATAATATTAATAAATAAACATAAAATTAAATCAAATATGTCAAAACCTTTTAACTCAACACAACACAATAATACCCTGGTGGCAACTACCAATAGAAACTAAAAAATATAATTAATATGACTATCGACCATCAGCTGGGATTAAAATTGTATATCATATTGAGTTCTTTAATTAAAATATCAAGCAAACAGATTATGCTTGGTTTTGAACAAGTTCTACCAATTCTTTACAAGACTGGTTTTCAAGATACAATAAGCAGGTTTGACGACTGATTCCAGGTTGAACCCTTTTGGCCAGTCGGTTAAAGCTACTTTGGACAACACAGGTTATAACCACACATAAAGCTCTGTTGCACATCATTCACACTTTCAAACATATGTGATGTCAATAAATTCAAACTCCTGAGAAGTTTGAGTGAGAGGTTCAATAATGGTTAAAGCTCCAACACAGAGTAATGGTAATTCAGATCAGTCAAGTCTCTGTGCATCGCGATGAAGGTAGGTCCATCAACTGGTTGCAATAAGACCAGTTCTCACACGGGAGAACTATCCTTTGTGGGCAAGAACAATTTCATCTCACTTTCACATCCCGACCTTCAATCTTACACTCTTCGTTAAGTTCTGTGCATGTGACCTTCACTATAACCTCCAGCCATGGTAATGATGACCTTCATTATGACCATAGTTGTTTTGTTAAAAAAAATTGTAGTTACTAATAGACATATTTTATGTTTAGTATATTATTTTTAAAATGTCAAAATATTAATTTATTTTATTTTAAAAATGCCTTCATTGGTTTTGTGACCAGACTGATTTTAAGAACATAGATTGGATATCATCTACACTATTCTATACAGGGATCTCCACAAAGATGTCTATATGACTTTCCCTTCCCCAAGACCAAATGGAATGGAATGGAAAGCTCACATAACTTTTCAATTGTGGGTTCCTCCCAAGCTCACTCTAATCATTCATGAGTTAACAACTTTATCCTTAGCTCATTCAATGTTATTGTAATATGCACGGATGACATAGAGCCTTTTTGAATGAGCTTTTCCAAATGGACTTCTAGGAGAGAAAAACATGAAAAAAATAATGAAATTGACTTCTCCATGTTAAAATTAGTTTATTCATAATTTAAAAATAAAAATTGAAGAAGTTATATGAGAAAGATTCTTTAAATTAGCTTATACATAATATTTATGGTCATAAGCAAGCACTACTGGCTTGGTTTGAAAGGTTAAGTACTGCCTCATCAAGACTTCACTTGGTCGCCAGTAAAAGTGATCACTCATCATTCATATACTCTAAAACAGGTTCCACAGGTTATGTTTTAGTTTATATGGATGATATTATCATCATAGGTAACAATACTCAGCTCAATGCAAAGTCGTCTCTCAAGGAATTGGATGATTTGGATTATTTTCATTGAATTGAAGTTTATTATCAGTCCAATGGTGCTATTTATCTTACTCAGTCCAAGTAAATTCAGATACACTTTCTAAGACTAATATATTGGATGTCAAACCTATTACCTCACCAATGGTACGAGCATGCAAGCATACCAAAGATGGTTCGTCCCTTTACCAGATCCATCATTTTACAGGTCTATTGTTGGCTCGCTTCAATATGCAACTATCACATGTCCAGAATTAAGTTTTGTCGAAAATAAAGTATGCCAGTTCGCGTATTCAACTCTTGAGGATCATTAAACTGCTGTAAAGCATTTTGCGCTATCTAAAAGGCCTACAATGGGTTTACATTTCTAGGCTGCTTCTCCATCTGCACCCTTTTCCTTGAATATTTATTGTGATGTTGATTGGGCTACAGATATCACAGATCTACCTCAGGAGCTCGTGTGTTTTTTTAGTACAAATCATGTCTCATAGTGGTCTAAAAAGCAAACAGTTATGACAAGGTCTAGTACTAGGCTGAATATCGTAGTCTTGCTTTGGCCACAGCTGAAGTTATTTGGATTCAATCTTTATTGTCCGAGCTTATTGTTTCTCATTACCAACTTTTATCAATTGTGACAATCTCACTACGGTTGCCTTTGCTCATAATCCAGTTTTACATGCAAGAACCAACCATCTTGAGTTAGATCTGCTTTTTCCCAAAGAAATGGTTCTTAATCAGCATCTTCAAGTTGTTCATGTTCCTGCAGTAGATCAACTTGATGACAGTCGTACAAAATCTCTTTCTCCTTCTTGTTTTTTCTTATTTCACTCCAAATTCAGTATGGGTGACTATTCTGTTAATAACTGAATGGGGGTGGGGGGTAGTAGAGTATAAGTAATACAAAGCATTTTTGCTTCAACGCATTTTTCTCTTTTTCTGTTATTGGGCTGTAGCTATTCTGTTCTCCAGTTGCTGGGCCATAGCCGTGTCTGGCCCATCTCTATCTAGTGCTCACTATAAGTAAATCATAGCTATCTGATGTAACCATGTTTTTATTCTTCAATTTTCCGTTCACATATTCTCTGAAATTCTATTATCAATATTTGTTAAATGTGATAATACCTACTGCTACAGTAACCAGATAATCATCTCGTGGGTAAGTTTTTGCATAAGTAACATAGACCATAAGTTAGAAACAATTGAGAATCTAAGTTTTGGAAAAAAACAAAATGGGAAACCAAGAAAATATTGAAGAGAAACAACATTTGTGAATGAATTCTAGTATATATATATATATATATTTAAAACCGGACCGGTCACCGAACCGGTAAAGCCATGGATTTAGGGTTTAAAGGCTCAACCAGGATCTGGATTTAATAAAATAATATTTTTATTATATAATAAATATATAATAGGTTTATTAGTAATAATGTTTTTTATAAATAATAATAATAATAAATATTATTATCATGGTTACCGTAAATTATAATAAAAGTTATAAATATAAAATATATTAGAGAGTGAAAGATGAATAATTATTAAAATAAGATAAAAATACAATAAAATAACTATTATTTAAAGATGACGTAACTAATATGAGATAAGAACAAAAACAAAAATATATTATATCTTTTATAAAAAAGTTATATTAAACAAATTTGATCCTAAATAATTTTTTTACCCAAAACGGTTCAACCCAAAAACCCAGCCGGTTTGTCCGGATTTGTCCCACTTTAATTAAAGTTCAGTTATTTGAAAGCAACAAACCGGTTTCTAATCTAGTTCACCTAACTAGTCCGATCTGATTTTCAAAATAGTGATATATATATATAGGAGATTCAACTGAATATTTCTATAACTTAATAAAACCAAATCTAAAAAATAGGAATAGAGCATGCAAATTTCAACTAAAAAATTCCCATGCTACAAATTCAAGAAGCAAATATATTACTATCTTCGGACTCAAAAATAAGCAAAATTACCTAATTTCACATTGATTAAGAATGTTAGCTAACAATCACTGTTCTGGATTTCATAAAATAAATAGGTACTTTTTCTAAATTACCCTCAATCATATTTATTGGAGATGGTGCCTAAGTTTAAAACATAAGAGGATTTTTGAAATAACAGCTTTTAATAGGATTGACTTGGTTTGAATTTATTTATATTTAAGTTCACCAGACATGAACCTTTTTTTTTGCTTATATTTCAGTCAAAGGAAGTATTAGCTAACTCTATCACTTGATTATTTTATGCACACATACATACAGAACAGTAATTAAGACATTTGTTACAACCCAGAAAATAATTTTAGGCGCAACCGGAGATGTCTGATATACCTGTAAAATCAACTGCCACCATGAAGTTCAATTCAAACCCCCCAGCCAAGTAATCCAAGAAAGAATGTTGGACACTTTCAACATATTTGTCCACAAATAACCGGCTCTTTAACACCTGCATTATAGTTAAACATCGTTTTAACAAAATATAGACGAATTAATGATTGAAATTAACTTATTTTAATATAATAAAACCTTGTTATGAGAATTATGACCCCCAGCAGAAGATAAAAAAAAATTTACTCCTTGGCCACTAGAAAAAAGCTTCTCCAGCTCCATCAAAGATTTCTGCACTTTTCTGATGAAACAAAAAAATAAACAACCCTAATATGCATTTTATTCTAGAAATAGATTTAAGGGACAATGGAACAAACGGCTGAAAAAGTAACAGCTGATTACCCCATCAAATCATGTTTGCCATTGCTATTAAAATTATAGCACTCCATTATCATAGGATTTTCCTGTACACAATAAAAATGAAAATGAGATATTTCCAGTATGTCAGCATGCCTATACCAGAGTTCAAAAACCAACCCAAAAAGAAAAGATTAAAAATGTGATGAAGTATGGGCATATTTCCTTATAGTAACAATAAATGTATAATGATCCTTTCTGCAACCATAAGGTTGGAGGACTCTGACTTGGTGGTCACTTTAATCACTGAATAGTGGTATACAACACTAACTAAAACCCAATACTATCGACAATTAGCATTGAGGTGAAGTGTAAAGATAATATCAGATATAAAGCCATTCACAAGCCTTTACCCAATAGCTTAAGCTGTCAGGAGTTGGTCATTGACATGGTATCAAAGCCTTTATCATTAAGAGGTTAAAAATTTTATCCTTGCCACCCCATTTTTCTAAAAACAACAGAATTTCAACAGAGTAAAGTAGAACTAGCATTGTTCACACTTCAAGCAGAATGGTAATTGATTATTGAGTCGTCAACTGCAGCCTAATATTTCTAACTATATACTTTTATAATTATGGTGGAAAAATTGAACGACCTTTCATTTGAGGAAATATTTAAAAACAATTATATATATATATATATATATACATATATATATATATATATATATATATATATATATATATATATATTCACTTTCATATTTGAAAAAAGGTCAACAATTCCTCCATAAAAATATGGTAGCTAGGCCGATGGCATTATTACAATATATGTATTGTTGTTATTTTAGCAATCATATTAGGTTAGGGGAGTATAATTCTATTAAACTTATTTGTGACATAAATATTAGCATAAATGGTAGTATGACATCAATGCTTTTCATAACAACAACAACAACAATAACGCTTTAGAGTCCCGCAAATAAACTAATTTGTGTTTAATTTTCTTTTCAACCTAATCCTTAACTGTCAGCACAGTATTCTGGCCCCTGCCCATGGTTGCATTCACCATGCAGTTTTGAAACAATAGAACTGTTAGGATACCATTGCAAGGTACTTGAGCCTCAAATTGGAAGAAGGGGATTCTATTCTACTGTCGGGTTTATAAGGCCTCGGGCTCTTCAACTATAATGGCTAGCTTTTGTGTTATGTTTCTCCCAAGGTTCTTATCTAGAACTCCACAATATTTTCTTTCTGTTTGTAGCTTAGAATTGTCCTTTTCTTAATTGGTTTTTCAGCTTCCTTCCATCTCCTTACGATGGTCAAATATGTTCTTCTATCCTATTCAAGTGGAGTTTTTCTTCTCCATTGATTCGACCTTGTCTATGGGAATTGGAATACTCTAGACTGTATTAGATGGACTATACTTGACCTAAAATATTGTATCACATTTGTTTACAGTCCTTTAAAATTTAGTAAATGATTCTTCCTTTTCTCTTTTCCATATACTCTCTCAAATGCAACAGACAAACATCACTGTACAGTTTTATACCTTGCTTCCTATTTGTTGAATATTCAAGAATACTGGTTTCCATATTGGGTTGTGATCATTCTTTATAACTTCTGTTTTGCAAATTGGAATATGACTACCACCTTCCACAACTTTTGATATCAATAAAAAGGGATCCTGCAGGACAAACAAAAGCATGTCTTAATTAATAATTGATGTTCCTCATAATGGGTTACAAAATGTTGAAAAAGGCAAGTATACACATACACTTTTTGAGAAAAGATCCCTATATTCCAAATCAGAACACCTGAGTGTCATCTCTACTGTTGTCTTTGAGCTAACACATTCCTCAGCATGCACCAAGAGCTTTCCACAGTTTCGGGACTGGGAAGATCTGGTAAAATCTGTGTGTAAATCTAATGCCATTGATCGATCAAACTTTGTAATTATCTGCACAGGCAAAATTTGTTACTGTTGATGGATACATTTGTTGGGATACTATTTTATTTTCAGAAATCAGTAGGACAGCATAATTTGAGTATATATTTCTTGGATTCAAAAACTTCCAATATGTTTGCTACTTACCCAATTAACTGGTGAGAAAAACAGCAATAGTGCAAGATAGATATTAGTTGCAAAAATATAGCTTCATTGAGTGTGTAATGAATTTTCTATAGTTGTCAGATAATCAATCAACAAAGCAGTCTCTACTTTACCTCAGATAATGCACAGGTTGCCTCACCTAGATATTCCTGCTCTTCTAGCTTTAGTATCTGCATGAGTCAGACAAATATTTACAATGTGGACTTCTATCGTCATGCTTTATCAACATGTTATCAAATGTAATGAACTAGCAAGTAAAGAGGTCGCAGATACAAAATTAATGCACGTTCAGAGAAAAAACTAGGAAAGTATTTTTGCACAACTTACAAGAAAGAACCATAAGAAAAAAAAAAAGTGGGGTTCAGTTGTTATCTCCAGTGGTGCACAAAGAAGGTTGTGAGGAATCTGATTGTGTATATAGCCACAACCAAAAATGTCTCATCCAATGAACCATGAATATCAAGCATGGAAAAAATTTTACTCCCCTCCCAAAATGCTTCAGAAAAGGTAGCAGTGCAGCATAAAACATGTAAATTTTCCATACAGAGTAAATACCTTGAACTAAAAAAAAGTGAATGCAGGAGTCTCTGAGTTAAAATAATGAAAATGTAACTGATACACCACATCATATAATAAGGCATAAAATTAATTAGAAGTCTAAACAGCTGCATGTGAAATCTGAAGTCAGATGACATCAATATCAATACATTTTCGTAGTTTTCCTTAACTAGGTTACCACAAATAAGATTACAAAATTTTCATAATTATTGAGAAGTCTTCTAAGTAAATAAAAAAACTTTCAGAACAGGAATGGTAGTCTATTATCTAGTTTGATGGAAAAAATATATATTAGAACCATTATCTTACCAAGAAATAAACAAGGAAAACTAAAATGTGTATGACATAATACACACTATACCTTTACATCTGCATTGTGAAACTGAGTATCAACATCGTACACACGAAACCTGTGAGGAAAGAAATTTTACAAAATAGCTCCTGGTGAAACAACGAAATGTTCATATATGCTGGAAGTATCAAGATCAACATATAAACTTACACTAAATCCTGAACAGCCTCAAATTGATAAGTGAGAGTGTGCTTAGTAATCCATGTAGGATTTAGTGAATTCAGAATTACTTCTGTCCGGCCAACTTCCTTGAGTGCTCCATTTTTTCCTCTTTCATAAAGAACCAACATTGGATCACTCTACAGAAATGAAGAGTTACACAAGAATCATGAATCTGATTAATGAGAATATTAGCCATTAAAAGCATGACACTATATTCAAAGAATGACTATCAGTACATCCAAACAGACAATTGAAAATGACCTCATCGATCCATATAGTTTGCTTGTTGAGCTATTTTAACAAGGTCTAGTTCAATATGCCTTCATCCTTTACACTCATGTAAGGATGAGTTACAGCATACTTTCTTTCTGTCTGGAACAAAAGGGAAGTTATTAAGCTTTTCATTTTTGTGATATTCTATTTCAGTCTTCATGCTCACCACAAATTATTTTGTTAAAAAAAAAATCACTTGTTAGTATATTAATGAGAGTTGATTAAAGCAGTATGAAACTGAGCTGAGATTAAGATCATTGAAGTAAATAAATAAATAAATAGCTACAAAGGAAAATTACAGAAACAGATAAAGAAACTGAAGACAGTAAAAATACAAAAATAAAATAAGATAAAATAAATAAAACTACCATCTCCTCTCTAAATCAACTCAATTGTCAATCGAGCATTGGATTTTTCAGAGACCGAGATCCCCTAACTGTGTCAGAATCTCATTCATTAAAAAACTACAACTCAAATGCGTTTAAAGAGGTTGGGATTCATGCAATGGTTAAACGACCAACCTTGGAGATTATATCCCGATCACGCAAGCCAGTAGCAGAAAACGACAGCTGCGAGAGAAAAGCGATTAGGAAAAGCCACTCTAGTCAGTGCGAATTGAAGTGAAGTGCCTTAGGAATGGGAAGAGAAAGAGGAAATAAAAAGTGAGAACCTCGATCTGAGAGAAGAGGCCGTTATAACCGCGAGACCTGAGGAAATTATCGACGGCTTCGTTAGGACCGTTGGCCGGATTGAGTTGGCCGGAAGCGGTGCCACCGACGGCCGTTCTGCCGCCGGCGATGTCGGAGCAGCAGTTGCCCATGGGCTGAAGTAAACGTGTAGTAGGTGACTCTGAAAGACTGCGAACCAAGTTGAAAATTGAAAGGAATATCGAAAAAAGAAAACTTTAAACCCGGAATATCTTTTTTTTTTTTTTTTATCTACTTTCTGCATTACCAAATTATCTGTTCTTTTTCTTTTCCTCTCGGTAGTCTTCATGTCAAAATATATATATATATATATATATATATATATATATATATATATATATATATAATATTATTAAAATATTTGTGTTTTATTATATTTTTATTTAATTTTAAATTTGTCAAATAACAGTTAAATTTCCTCTTCAAATTCAAAAGTATATCTTTTTGCCTCTTTCTTCACAATAACATTAAAATAAACACTGCAATAATTTTATAGTTGTCCCTTTGTTTACTTTTATTTATGAAATGACATGTAAGCGATTAAATAGAATTGACACCTTTTTTTTATTTTCAATAATTTATTACAGGATAACAAGTTTTTTTTGCTAAAAACAATGTTTTAAAATATTTGATGATGAAACCCGAAAAAATATTACTTAAGAATCATATGTTATAATAAACATATATTTATATTTTTAGGGTAAAAAATAAATTGTATTTTATTAAAAATATTTATGTATATAAACAAAACATTTTTTAACTAATAAAAGAAAATCATATAAAAAGTTTGTTGTTCAAGAAAAAAATAAAAGATTAAAGTAAAGAAATATGGTTTAACAAAATGTGTTATTAAAAATAAGTGATATGACATCGTTTACACAACCACTCTTACATAATTTTATAAAATTATTTTTTAAAAGAAAATATGTATTTTATTATATTTAGGACATTTATAAAACTAAATAAAATTGATGATTAAACAATTAGTTTAAGTGATAAAATATTAAATATTTAACGCCAACGTGGACTTCGAAGAGCCTAAAATCAAATGATGCCTAATAAAGACGTCGTTTTCACGTTTTTTTAAATGACATTATATTACGTGTTAACCACAACTTCTTCCAAGTTAAAAAATTGTAATTATATGGATTATAAAATAAAATAAAAAATTAATTTAAATATATTAATTAGTTAATCACAAATTATAAAGTACAGCAAAAAAATAATAATAATAATCACAAACTATGAATTTCTATTAAAACTAATTTAAAAATTATAATTGATAATATAAGAGTCCGAGGACATTGGAAAAAAAAAAATGCTTAACAACCTTTCATATTTTTTTATTATATTATTTTGACTTCCTTTCCAAACAAAAAGCAAGAAAACATGGATGAGAAAAGATGCATGCATGTCTTTAACAAAGGAGCATGCATAGACTGCAATCTTTGACGTGCTTTGTGCTCACCCCCTTAAAGTAGAACAGCGTGCATCACCGTCATTTAAATCTTTCTTTTTTCCATGTTCGTCAACTATACTCATAAATGATTGAGTGGAATCTACTGTTTTTCTTTTTGTTCAGTATAATTTCCCAGTGTAATTTTTTTAGAAATTTTTAACCTTGTAGCTAAAAATCATTTTGTTTGTACGATAACATTATGTGGGTATTTGTTTGTGAAGTAAACAGTAACATGTTCTACACAATCTTGTGTAACCCAATGTTGAGATCAGATGATATGGAAATGAGAAAGGGAACAGAGCGAATCCATATGGCTCTGAAGACTCGTTTCTGATGAGCTTGTATAGATTGGAAGGCTTGTGAGCATTATATCTTATGTCAAATATGTGAATCATAGGATCAGCTGAACCAGATGATATGTACACTCCATTTGGAGACCAAGCCTGATTTATCAGAGCTGACTGAGACTCGCTGCTTTCTTGCTTCCATCCTAAGCCATGAAGTTCTGTCCGTTTTGATCTAATATCAAACAATCGAAGCTGCCTCTCAGGGGTCCTGTAATGAAACAAATAAAAAAATGATTACACATGTAATAAAGGAGTACAATCAAACACTTTGTTAACAAATAAGGATATGAATAACAAAAGGGCTAAGTTGAAAAATGATATAATTTCAGCAAATGAATGATTAGTTATACATGTGCATATGATTTCAGCCATAGATTCTTGTAACATTAATCGAGACACCTTAGGTCTCCCACTAAGAAGATTCAAGTGCGGTTAATACAGTCATATAGCAAAGATTGTGAAAAGATAAAAATCCCGGTTATAAAAATGAAAGAAGTGGCAAAGTGAATTCCAAAGGCAAATGAAACTTATACCCCGTTTGAACCATGAATAAATTGAAGTCATGCGGATTTGGCAGGACACTCATACATTTACTATCAACTTGCTGCATGAAATCTTGTCTTCCAACATGAGCATCGTAGCCCAAAATTCTCTTGTCTTTGCCAACAGACAACACAATTTGTCTCTGCTGCATGCCAGATACTACCATTACAGCTGATGAATGAAGATTCCTGGGTAATGCTTCTGGCTTCATGAGGAGACTCGAATAGAAGGAAAACAATTTACGGTTAGGTTTTAAGAATTGATTTGATTGGAAATAGAAAACAGAAAAAAATAAAAGATACCGTAGGCGCCACAAATAAGAATATTTGATAAGCCAAGAAGGATCGACACAAGAATTGGATAATTCTTGATAAGATCAAATGATGCAAGAAAGAACTCTAGCAGAGCAACAACTCACAAAGTAATCTGAATAATACGTACGTTCATTCTGAATTTCCAAATGTTTAATACAACTTAAGTTTATGAGTTTGTCTCATTGCAGGAAATAAAGATAAATTAAAATCCTAATATCCCAAGCAAAGTTAAGTTACCCAGATGGTTCAGTGAAGACATTATAAGCTTTGGGTCTTGGGTTCAAATCCTCATTGTAGCAAATAAAATAATAATAATAATAAAAACTAAATCTTTTAGTTGGGTCTCCTAGCTCTCCAAACATTCTATGCATGTGATAGGTCTAGACTTCTCCATGTTTGGATCTTTTAATAGTTAGCCTTTAGCAAATTGGTCACTTTGCAATGCCTCTTGTGTTTTTCTGAGTCTGCCTCTTGTCATAGGTCCACATAAGTTTTGGATTGGATCTTGGTCTTGATCCTTCTCGTTATGGGTTTGGGTCTTTATGTCCACATCATTCCCTCCTTCTTGGGCAGCATTTGTCCTCAAATCTATGAATTCATCTTCTGCATCAAAAGGAGTCAAGTCAGCAACATTAAAAGAAGAACTTACATTATACTGTCCTGGTAGATCAATCTTATAAGCATTATCATTGATCTTCTCTAAGACTTGGAATGGCCCATCTCCTCTAGGTTGAAGTTTAGACTTTCTTTGTTCAGGAAACCTTTCCTTTCTCATGTGTACCCAAACCCAATCACCAGGTTGGAACACCACCTTTTTTCCTACCCTTGTTAGTTTGCCTCACGTAGCTCTCATTCTTCTTTTCAATTTGAGCTTTTACTTGCTCATGTAGCTTCTTCACATATTCTGCTTTAGCCTGTGCTTCCTTATGCTTAAACATAGAAACGTTAGGCAAAGGCAACAAATCAAGAGGAGTCAAAGGATTAAATCCATACACAATCTCAAATGGTGAACAATTAGTTGTACTATGGATAACCCTATTATAAGCAAACTCAACATGAGGTAAACATGTTTCCCAAGTCTTAAGATTTTTCTTTAAAATAGTCCTAAGCAATGTGCCTAAAGTCCTGTTGACTACCTCAGTTTGACCATCAGCTTTTGGGTGACAAGTAGTAGAAAACAATAATTTAGTACTAATCGTATCCCACAAGGTCCTCCAAAAGTGACTAAGGAATTTTGCATCCCTATCACTCACAATGCTCCTCGGCAGCCCATGTAACCTTACTACGTCCTTGAAAAACAAATCAGTCACATGACAAGCATCATCTACCTTCTTGCAAGGTATGAAATGTGTCATCTTAGAAAACCTATCAACAACAACAAACATAGAATCCTTTCCATTCTTTGTTTTAGGCAGCCCTAAAATAAAGTCCATAGAAATGTCAGTCCAAGGATATTCAGGAACAGGTGAAGGAGTATACAACCCATGAGGCTTAACATTAGATTTAGCCTTTTTACACACAATGTAGTGATCACAAAACTTATTCACATCATGTTTCATATGAGGCCAAAAGAAATGCTCTTGCAAAATTTCTAAAGTCTTTTGAACCCCAAAATGACCCATCAAACCCCCTTCAAGTGATTCACTCACAAGCAACTCTCTAATGGAACACTTAGGCACACACAATTTATTTGCTTTAAACAAGAATCCATTATGTCTAAAGTAACCATTTTTAGAAAACCTTTCACATGCTGCAAAAGTTTCAGCAAAATCCACATCATTCACATACATGTCTTTCAAAGATTCAAGACCAAACAATTTAGTTTCAAGCATAGAAAGTAATGCATGTCTCCTAGAAAGTGCATCAACTACTACATTCCCTTTTCCCTTTTTATGCTTGATGACATATGGAAATTGCTCCAAGAACTCAACCCATTTGACATGTCTCTTATTTAACTTGCCTTGTCCCTTTAAGTATTTCAGAGATTCATGATCATTATGAATTACAAACTCTTTTGGTAAAAGGTAATGCTGTCAAGTTTGTAAAGCACGCACTAAGGCATACAATTCTTTATCATAGGTGGGATAGTTTAAGGCACCCTCATTCAACTTCTCACTAAAATAAGCAATTGGATTACCTTCTTGTAGCAAAACAGCCTCAATACCCACATTAGATGCATCACATTCAATTTCAAAAGATTTTGCAAAATTTGGTAATGTAAGGATGGGGGCATTAGATAGTTTGTGCTTAAGTTCAGAAAATACCTTTTCTTGTTTTTCACCCCATTTAAACCCAACATGCTTTTTGACTATTTCATTAAGAGGTGCAGCCAAAGTACTAAAGTCTTTAACAAACCTTCTATAGAAACTAGCTAACCCATGAAAACTTCTCACTTCACTCACATTCTTAGGGGTAGGCCACTCTTAGATGGCTCTAATCTTTTCTTCATCAACTTGTACCCCTTTAGAACTCACAACAAATTCCAAGAACACAACATGATCAGTGCAAAAGGTACATTTTTCAAGATTAGCAAACAATTTTTCCTTTCTAAGCACATTCATGACAGCACACAAATGTTCAACACGCAAATCAAAATTAGTGTTATATATCAGAATATCATCAAAATACACCACTACACATTTGCCTAAAAACTCTGTCAAGACATGGTTCATCAATCTCATAAAAGTGCTTGGAGCATTAGTTAACCCAAAGGGCATAACTAGCCACTCATACAACCCATATTTAGTTTTAAAATTTGTTTTCCACTCATCTCCTTCTCTAATTCTAATTTGATGATATCCACTTTTCAAGTCAATTTTAGAGAAGATACAAGCACCATACAATTCATCCAACAAGTCATCTACCCTAGGAATGGGATGTCTATACTTTACCGTGATGTTATTGATAGCTCTACAATCTGTGCACATCCTCCAAGTTCCATCTTTCTTAGGGACTAGAATGACTGGGACTGCACATGGACTCAAGCTTTCTTTAACCCACCCCTTTTGCATTAAGTCTTCAACTTGCTTTTGAATCTCCTTGGTTTCTTGGGGATTGCTTCGATAGGCTGGTCTATTAGGCAATGAAGCTCCTGGAATAAGGTCAATTTGATGTTCAATACCCCTAAGACGGGGTAGACCTATAAGCACTTCTTTGGGAAAAACATCTTCAAAATCCTGCAACAAAGAAGAAACTTCTTTTGGAAGAGAATTAGTAAAACATGGACTGTTTGATTTACTTTCTTTACTCAAAAGTAAAAGTATTGGCTTTCTCAATTGCATAGCTCTTTTGACTTTTTTTTCTTTTATAAACAGACTTGATTTTTTTCTCTCTTTCTCTTTTTCTTCCTCTTTTTCCTTTTTCTTTTCACTCTCTTTTTCTTTTCTCTTTTCTCTCTCTTTTTCTTTTCTTTCTTCTTTTCTTTTCTTTCTCATTTTCAGTTGATCCTCACTAACTTCTCTTGGAACCAAAGGTGCAAGAGTAGTTTTGCGGTCTTTATGCATAAAAGAGAACTTATTAGTGAAACCATCATGCATAACTCTCCTATCATACTGTCATGGTCTCCCAAGAAGTAAATGACAAGCCTCCATAGGCACCACATCACACAAAACAGAATCTTCATATTTCCCTATAGAAAAACCCACTTCAACTTGCCTATTCACGGTCATCTCACCATCTTCACTAAGTCATTGAAGTTTGTAAGGTCACGGGTGTGGCTTAGTCTCCAAATTCATTTTTGAAACCAACCGTGCACTAGCCATGTTAGTGCAACTCCCACCATCAATGATCAAAGAGCACAACTTCCCTTGAATGAGGCACCTTGCATGAAAAATATTTTCTCTTTGACAATCATCCAATTCAACTGATTGACTACCCAACATCCTTCTAATCATGAACAAATCTCCTTATAACTCTCTTTCATCTTCATGCTCATTTTCATCACTAGATGGAGAATCTGAAGAAGATTCACTAATTATTTCTCCATCCTCCTTAAGTAACATAGTCTTCTTAGTGGGACATTGGGAAGCTATGTGACCTCTTCCCAAACATTTGAAGCACTTAACCTCACTACTCCTTGTTTTCAGAAGTGTCTCATTAGACTTATTTTGATTTCTATGAGCTATAACATTGGAATTGCTTGTTGATGATCCACCCTCCTTCTTATTTTTGTCCTTCCAACTAGGAGAGTGAAAATTAGATGAACTCCTCCTCATGACACCCTTTCTTTTCAATTGTTGTTCCACCTTAGAAGCTTGATGTACTAAATCCTCCAACTCAACATAATTTTGCAGCTCCACAACATCCCTTATATCACTATTTAGCCCATGTAGGAATCGGGCCATAGTAGCCTCCCGTGCCTCCATAACATTAGCCCTAATCATGGAAACCTCCATCTCTTTGTAATATTCATCAACACCTCTACTACCTTGTATGAGTCTTTGGAGCTTGTTGTGAAGATCTCTTTGATAATGAGAAGGAACAAATCTTCTTCTCATCAACCTCTTCATTTCTTCCCAACTTTCCACCAAGGGTTCTTCATATCTCACCCTTTCCCTTTGTAATTGGTTCCACCAAATGAGAGCATAATCAGTAAATTCTATGGCTGCCACCCTCATCTTTTTATCTTTTGTGTAATTATGGCATGCAAACAGTTGCTCAATTTTTATTTCCCACTCCAAATATGCTTCTGGATCACTTTTTCCTTGAAAAGAGGGTATGTTCAACTTTACTCCTTCAATTCTGTTATCTCTAACATCACCTTCATTATTTCTCCTTCTCCTCCTTCTACCTCCACCATCATCATCATTTCCTTGATTTTCTAGTTGTTCAATTCTCCCATACAACTCCTCGGTATGTTCTGTCAACATTCTTTGCATTTGGGCTGTAATGGCATCAATCAATAATCTATTGTCATCCCCTAGAGGAGGGGTACCACCACCATCACCTGCACCTGCCATCTTTCAAGTAAAAAAGAAGAAAGGACCAAACAAATGAAGTAATAGGACCTCACCACTCTTCTCACGTGTTTGCACTCAAAGATGTACCACTCGTGTTTACTCTCAATTTGGCTTTTGTATAATATGCACTCTTGCCTTTTTCCACTCGTTCTCTGACTTATGGTTCTTACAAGAATCAAACAATCTATAGTTCAAGAATCATTTTCAACTGTAGCAATCACAAGAAATAAAACAGAATTGTAGTACCAACAAAGGACAAGTAGCAAAGAACAATTTTACTACTAATAACAAGCAAGACAAATTTAAACTATGGAAAAACAAATATTAGACAAAGACGTTTGACACTTAGGAATTTTATCAAACAGCTAATGTGCACTGAAATTTAAAAAAAGAACAACTGTCATATATATATATATATATATATATATATATATATATATATATATATATATATATATATATATATATATATATATATATATATATATATATATATATATATATATATATATATATATATATATATATATATAATTTTTTCGATTCTTTTCTTCTTTTGATTCTTTTCCTTTTTTGATTCTTTTCTTTTTTTATTCTTTTCCTTTTTGGATTCTTTTCTTTTCTGCAGAAAACTAATTTCAAACACAACTTTGATATATATATCTAAATGAAATTCAATATCAAAATTGCATAAACAAGCAATTTTTTTTTTGAACAGATATAATGAACGATGCGTGAACGAGTGACAATGAATAGTAATGTGAACAGTGCGATGAACAGTACCGCTTTTGAACCCTGCTCTGAATACCAAATGACGACACTCGAATAGAAGGGAAACAATTTAGGGTTAGGTTTTAAGAATTGATTTGATTGGAAATAGAAAACAGAAAAAAATAAAAGATACCGTAGGCGCCACAAATAAGAATATTTGATAAACCAAGAAGGATCGCCACAAGAATTGGATAATTCTTGATAAGATCAAATGATGCAAGGAAGAACCCTAGTAGAGCAACAACTCACAAAGTAATCTGAATAATACGTACGCTCATTCTGAATTTCTAAATGTTTAATACAACTTAAGTTTATGAGTTTGTCTCATTGCAGGAAATAAAGATAAATTAAAATCTTAATATTCCAAGCAAAGTTAAGTTGCCCAAATGGTTAAGTGAAAACATTATAAGTTTTGGGTCTTGGGTTCAAATCTCCACTGTAGCAAATAAAATAATAATAAAAACTAAATCTTTTAGTTGGGCCTCCTAGCTCTCCAAACATTCTATGATAGGTCTAGACTCCTCCATATTTGGATCTTTTAATAATTGGCCTTTAGCAAATTGGTCACTTTGTATTGCAATGCCTCTTGTGTTTTTCTGAGTCTGTCTCTTGTCATAGGCCCACCTAAATTTTGGATTGGATCTTGGTCTTGATCCTTCTCGTTATGGGCTTGGGCCTTTATGTCCACATCACTTCCATTTGTTCTGATCATTCTCACGCCACAATACCACAGCATGATCAGTTCCTCCGGTTACAAAACTGGTATTCTCCCAAGGCAGAAACACAATGCTATTTATAACACCCTTCACGTGAGGTTTGTCTTCTATGAAATTGACATATGCTCTCTGTCAATTACATCCATGTTTTACATAACATCAATCACTATAAAAGAAAACAAAATTCTAAATCGATATTAACCAATATATTTGTGTCAAGATTTGTATCTTACCCCTCCACCTTTTACTCTACTGAAGTCAGTCACTGAGATTTGATGGTCTTGACCATCAGCACTATATACTGAAAGCAGGCTGTTCCCCTCTGGGTGCCAAACTACATCTTCTGGCCATCTCTGCTGTGGAGACATGCAATTTGTAGTTATAAGTAGAGAAGCTCTTGGTCTACAAAATATGGATGGGAGAATTAAAATCCAGAAATATATTATTTTTCCATATCATATGAGTAAGAACATATAAAATATTCTAACAAAACATCATATATAATATGGAACAAATTTTCATCCGTGAAGGAAAAAAGGGCAAAGCTTTAATAAATCAAGGAATCAAATATTGCAAAGAGAACAACATAACTATTGCTCTCCAACACTAATTAAAGAAGGAAGGATGTAGTGACCAGATCTATTGCAAATTGCTAGATCCCCATAAGATACTTGACTTAATGATTACATACAACCACCATATTATTCATAAAATTCACCCTGCTTACTATTCACTCGAAAATTATCAGTGATCAAGAATTTTCCTGAAAATGCATACTACTCATATGATATATAGACCAAAGGAGTATGTTCATGTAATGAATGTCCTATTTTATATGGGAAAGGACATGAGAAAAACAAGAGACATTAAAAAAAGCCTACCATTTATTAGACCCATCGCAATATAAGATGCATTTTAAATTCATTTGTATGGTCTTCTCATATAGATATTTCATTTTTTGATAGTCAACAACTATGTAACTATAACAATACAATGACATTTAAAACAAAATGGCTCAAAAGAAAATCGAAGACATACTCTGAAGAATGAACATCCCACAAGTTGACCACTCCATCCAAAGCACTGCAAGTATTCCCAACCCAAAAGGAAGCAGGCATCAGATTATAACAGACTTGTTCTTACCAGAAAAAATATTAAACAAATTATAAAGAATATGATTCCGTTATAATTATGTAGGAAGTCTCTGGGGATAAAAGAAGCTTTCAAACCAGCATTTTTTGGATGATATTATATATAAAGACGTTTAAAAGAAAAAATATAAAGAAAAAAATGAAATTGGCTTCTACACAAACTACTATTAGTTTATGTATCAGATTAAACTAACGGTGCAGAGAATATATGAGACAATTTCTAGAAGTCTTTATGAAATGTACTTGGCAAACAGCTGGAAGAAAATGTGGTACATGACCAATTAAAAAAAATAAACTTTTAAATACTAAGTTACTTTTAACAATAATTAAGTTTTGTTAAAATATGAGTGTAATTTGTGACAGAAATGCAGAAGACAAAGCGTCTCCGTGGGATAAACAACAGTTTGCAATGCCCCATTATATTTTCATTAATAAAAACTATAATCAAAACATTGCACAATTCTTTCATGAAGAGATGATTCTAAACCTAGTCACAAAGTGGTGATCATTCACAGGACACACAGCAACACATCGCACTCTCCTCTTGTGTTGACTTGAGAAGTGATGACTTATTTGATGCGAGAGTAATTCAGGTGAAGAACTCTTACTTATCAAGGAAATCAAATTAACATCCTCTTTATGTTCTGAAGAGAAAATAAAACTATGTTAAGGTTAGCATTACTTATGGTATGAAGGACCAAATTTACACAAAAACAACAATGAAGTTACCATATTTCCTTTTGCTCCCTCTGTCTTTAACTTTGACTTCCTGTTCAGTAGGGACTCTCTGATACTTATCAGACTCTATAGTTGACATAGAAAAAGAAGGAGAAGGGGACATCTGTACCAACTGCTAAATTTTTTAACCCAATTGAACAAGGCTTGACTTAGATTAAGGATGGTTTTCCGAATAAACATCACTCTTATGAAAGGAACCATTTTTTGATTCATATTCGACAGAGTTAACATGTGATGAACTTGGACTAGTTTCACCTCGTAAAATAGCCAATTTTAATTTAGATTCTTGCAACTTCCTCTCTTCTTCCTCAAGCTGCAAATAATTTACAAACATCAAATTAATTTTCATACAAAGACTCTACCTTTTTGGATTTTTAATGGAATAGATAAATATCAGTTCCCTTTTCTCCATCAAACCATTCACATACACTAATACCACTTAAAACTTATGTGTTTTGTCATTAAAAAAACATTTCCTAAAACCATTTTTGAGAATAACCGAACTAATTAAACAAAAACAAAAAACTGGATTGTATAATATGAGATATAATAACGGAGACTTTTGACTTCACGAGTACGGAGTTCGACCAGAGCCAACAATGCTTCTTCTTGATCTTCATGGTTATTGACACCATTTTGATGGTGTTGAGAGTGGTTGGGTTGGAGTCTCATTTTACAGTGTTGGCTGTTGCTCTTCTTTTGTTTCAATATTTGAAAAAAAATAAAAATAAAAAATGAAAGGGGACTGAAAAATTAAGGCTTGAAAGAGTAACTTTCCACTCCTGCCACTGATAAGGTGAACTAGGAAAGATAAGCAATCGAAGAACATCAACAATAAAAAATGAATTCACTAGAAAAGAAAAAATTCTCATCCAATTGTTATTATTCTCGAGAAAATAATGAATTACAGATAAAATTTTGTTTTATTTGAATCACCCGAACAACTATTTACAATTTGTCTTATATAGTGAATCTCTAACTAACTAACCAATCTCCTTTTTCCAAACAGAAACTTAACAACAGAGATATAACAGATTCTCTAAAAACTTCTACCTCCTATCTCTAGAAACTTGGAAACTTCTTCATAGATCAAAGTAAAACTCCCATGTGGCATCCTCTTGCAATTGATGATTCCATTTAACAAGAACCTTAGTGTCAGCCTTATTCCCTCTCTTAACAATCATACTATCCAATATGTACTCAAGTTCTTTCAGGACTGGATCAGTGATAGGTTGAAGAGAATCCTGAGAAATAGAAAAGTTCCCAACAAATTTTCTGAGATGAGAAATATGAAACATGTTGTGAATTTGAGAGTCTGGAGGAAGTCTTAAGTGATAAGCTACTATACCCACTTTGTCTACCACCATAAAAGGTCTGAAATACGTGGGAGAGAAAGTTTGGCATTGTTTCTGAAAGTCACGGATATCTGGATGTAAGAGTATAATTTTACCAACACCAAATCTCCAATCTGAAATTCTTTGTCAGATCTGTGTTTACTAGCAAGCTGCTTCATACGATGTTGTGTTTGCTGCATGTGGATTCTCCAAGAAGATAAGGTAAATGGAGAGGAGGTGACTGACCATACACAATTTCATAAGGACTAGCTCTAATGGTGTTGTGGTAAGAAGAATTGTACCACCATTCAGCGAGTGGAAGCCATTTGGACCAGCTAGAAACGAAATCTGTGCACATACGTCTCAAATAAGTTTCAAGACACCTATTAAAAACCTCAGTTTGTCCATGAGGGTGATAAGCTGTGGACATCTGCTGTTGTATGCCCTGCAAGGAGAGAAAGTCCTTCCAGAATTGGCTGGTAAAAATGGGATCTCTTTCACTTGTAATTGAAGCAGGAAATCCATGGAGTTTGAAGACATTGTCTAAGAAACATTGAGCTACATCAGTTGCTAAAAAGGGGTGTGACAAGGCCATAAAATGTGTTGTCTTACTCAATCTATCAACCACCACAAAAATAATTTGCTTGTCAAATGAGTTAGGAAACCTTTGATGAAATCCGTAGTTAGATGTTGCCAAACTTGTCCCGGAATTGGTAGCGGCTGTAATAAACCACGAGATACAGTAGTATCATACTTGTTAGTTTGACAAGTGACACACTGAACAACAAATCTTTTGATATCCTTAGACGTCCCTTTCCAATAAATCGCAGGTTTCAATATTTGCAGTGTAGCATCTCTCCCTGAATGACCTCCAGTAACAGAACCATGCACCCAAACAAGTATTTCTTATCGTAACTCGCCATTATTACCTACCACCAGCTTGTGTTTTCTTCTTAACTCATCTTTCTCCCATGAGTAATGCTTGTGTGAAGCAGGATTTAGTGTGATGTTTGAAATGATCTTCTGCAAGATTAAATCATCAGACCAAGATTGCTTAATTCTGGCCAACATGTCTGAATCAGGTTCCATGCTCAGCATTGCACTTCATTTACTCCCTTCTGGACAAAGCATCCACTGCAACATTCTCCTTACCTTGTTTATATTCAATATCAAAGTCAAACTCCATAAGTTTTACCAACCATCTTTGTTGAAATGCAATACTTAATCTTTGGTCCAGTATATACTTTAGGCTCCTATGATCAGTCTTTATGAGGAATTTTCTATTGAGCAAATAGTGTCTCTATTTTTGGATTGCAAACACGACAGCCGAGAGCTCCTTCATACGTGGATAGAGACGGTTGTTGCTTGTTTAAGCATCTACTAATACAAGCAATTGGATGTTGATTCTGCATCAAAACAGCACCTAATCCTTATCTAGATGCATCCACCTCAACTACAAATTGTTGAGAAAATCAGGCATGGCTAAAACTGGTGCATGAGCCAGTTGCTGTTTAAGTTGTTGAAATGCTTCCTTTACCTGAGGAGTCCAAGAGAAATTATCCTTCTTCAACATTTCTGTCAATGGCCTAACAATAGGACCATACCTGTAAACAAATCTTCTATAGTAACCGACTAGGCCCAAAAAACTTTTCAGTTGCTTCAAGGTTTGAGGGAGAGGTCATTGTTGCATAGCTTCAACCTTTGCAGGATTTGTAGCAATACCATCTTTAAAAAGGAAATGACTCAAATACTTTACTCTATCCACACTAAAGTAACACTTAGATTGTTTGGCAAATAAGCTGTGGTTCTTCACTGTCTCCAAAACTTGCTGAAGATGACTGATATGATCAGGGAGAGTCTTGCTGTATATTAAGATGTCATCAAAAAATACTAGTAAAAACTTCCTTAGAAAGACCTGAAAAACTGAGTTCATTAAGCCTTGGAATGTTGCAGGTGCATTTGTAAGCCCAAAAAGAATAACCAAATATTCATAGTGGCCTCCATGAGTCTTGAATGTTGTCTTATGGATGTCAGCCTCCTTCATTCGTACTTGGTTATAACCAGATTTGAGATCAATCTTAGAAAATATAGTTGATCTATGCAATTCATCCATCAAATCATCTACCAACAGAATTGGGAATTTGTTCTTAACAGTGCCTTTGTTTAAGTCTTTATAATCCACACAAAGTCTCTAAGATTCATCGTTCTTTCCTACCAAAACTACAGGGCTTACATAAGGACTGTTGCTAGGTTGAATCACTCCAGTTTTAAGAAATTCCTGTATTAGACCATCAATAATATCTTTTTGCTACTTTGCATATCTGTATGGTCTCTTATTGATAGGTTAACTCCTTGTGTTAAAGGAATTTTGTGATCATGACCAGGTCTGTTAGGTGGTAACTCAATAGGTATTTCAAATACATCCTTGTAATCATCCAGTAGTTTCTTAATGTCATGGTGTAGGGGTAGTTGGGTGGCATGAGTAGTCAGGGAATACAACAAAGAATTTGCATCGGAGTCCGCAAGGTTTATCATGGATAAATCAATACCACAAGACAAGGTCTTGTGCAACTACTACTTCCTAATTGTTTGTAGCTTTGTACTTGTATTTCATCTCATAATATATCTTCTTACTTGTACATAGAATTCCATAGTTAACTTATTAAAATTCCAGGTTATACCACCTAAGGTCACCACTCATTCAATCCCCAATACTAAATCACAACAGCTCAAAGACAATATCATCATATCCGAAATAAAAGTTGTGTTTTGGATGGACCATTTGAAAATTTTATTCATATTAGAGACTTGAACCTTATTTACATCAGCAACAGTAACAGCTATAGGTTGCATGGACTCCAATCTGCATCTCAGCCTCTTAGCTGTTGTCTAATCAAGAAAGTTAGTTGTACTTCCACTGTCAATTAAGACGTGCAATGATCTCTTTTTGTGTTGTCCAGTCACCTCATTGTTCTAAAACTAGCTACTCCAGTCAAAGCATGGATAGATATTAATGGTTCCTTTTGATGATCTCTCTCCTCTTCACTAATAGAATTTTCTGAAATCTGTATAGCAGCATCTTCCTCAACTTCCAACACATAAATTTGGAGCTTCTTGTGTTTCAATTTCAAGTTATGCTCTGGTGTGAAGGGTTCCTCACAGAAATAGCATAACTCTTTGGACCTTCTTTCAACCATATATTCAGCAGTTAAATTTCTAATGATTTGTGTTTTGTGCAGAGGGTTATTAAGTTGTTTGGGTGGGTTAGGCAGTAGGGGTGATTTGATAGTGAAGGTTGATTTTTGTGACTTAACAAAAGGTTTGGATTGGGTTTGAGTTACCATAGAAGACTCATACATTTTTTCACGAAAAAATGCTTTTCTAACTGAATCTGGCTGAAACATCCTAACAACCATTTGCACTTGTTTCAATCCTCCAAGAAAATAGCTCAATTGGTGTTCTTTAGACAATTCAACCTTGGAGACTATTGTATCAAAAGTCTCATGATACTCTATCTAACACAGTCCCTTTATGCCTTAGTTTCATAAGTTCAGTCATAGGATCCTCACAGACCTCACCAAATCTATCCAACAAAATTCAAGTAAATTCCTGCTAAGAAGGTAAATTCCCTATCCCCACCAATTTGACATATGCAGAATACCATTGTAGTGTCTTCCCCTCAAAATGCACAACCACCACTTTTACCTTATAATTCTCACGTGTATTAATTAAGAAGAACGTTTCACATTGGATAAATCTAAACGAGCCAAACAAGTAAGAAGAAGATTTGTCACCTGGAAGTGTTTGCGAATAACTCAAAGAGTGTTCCTGGAACATTTATTGGAGAGAGAGTTGTTGAGACTCACCACTAACTCCACGAACCTTCCATCCAGCTGCTGAAATCGTGTCTCCATTCTTGCAGTGAGATGATCTTCAACCTCACGAATCATCATCTGTCGTCTGGTGTTTGGTATTCTCCGCCATAAATTCTTGAAGGAAGGTCTGACTCTGATACCAGTTGATAAGGATGAACTAGGAAAGACAAGCAATCGAAGAAAGAAGGGAATTCGCGAGAAAAGAAAGAATTTTGATCCAATTGTTATTATTCTCGAGAAAACAATGAGTTACAGAGAAGAATTTGTTTTATCTGAATCACCCCGGTAGCTATTTATAATTTACCTTATATAGTGAATCTCTAACTAACTAAGTAATCCCCTTTTTCCAAAAACAGAAATGTAACAGATTATATAAGCTGCTAGTACTGTCACGTGTCCAACTCCTATCTCTTTTATCCGTCATCATCAACTACTACATCCACTTCCTTTTATTTAATCTCTT